ACAACAGGGATCAATATTTATTTTGGGTTAGGATCAATTTAAAACATTTGATATAAACTACATTATTTCTTAAGAAATCATCTGGATCAAGTGACCCCCCATACTTATGAGCTACCTCCGCTACTGGAAGTGTAACGTGAGTTCATGCTGGACTTATGTTATATCTTTGTTTGGTGGGGCTTGTATTATAAGGGACAAAAGAACAAATACGTTTTTATGGTAGAGATGCTTTTACTCATATGGTAATATCAAACTACTTTTGAGCTAAGATGCATCACATAGACGTTAGAGAGCCTCAGAGATGTTCATGTTGGACATTTAGAACTCGCATCAAATTGCATATGCAATTGAAGCTATCATGGATCCTAAGAGTTGGCCAAGATTTAGGAATTTGTTGGACAAAATTCAGATCTTGACAAGTAGGTTTGTCGGCTGTGATCTTATACTAATCCGTTGATTTTGTTGCACATGCAATTGCTAAGAGCATAACTCGGGAAGGGAGGTTCCAGTCTTATATTTCACCTGGTCGCCGGCTTTGCTTATAACCAAGTGCTAGAAGACTCGCGTTGTCAAAATGAAACCTTTTATAACATGTAATATTCATGTTTTTTTTTTCAAAAATTCTCTTTTTTCATAATAGTCACTTAAATCTTTAAATGCAGTTCCGCTAAATGGTCAAAATAATATGTTAACGGAAGATGACATTGTGTATATATTTGACGAATATCGAATATCGAATAATTTTACTCAAGTAGTCCAATTGAACCAAACGATATCAAATAATATATCCGTTCGGTCATGGATTGTTCAAGAACTGAACAAGATTGGACCATTGATCACTAGAAATCGTGTGATGTGGACAAGATGAACCACCAACGCTAAAAACAGCAACATAATTTAATGGAACCGCAGACTGTGTACTTGTAGCCCCCTCAAGCAGACCCGATCTTTTTCATGTGTTGGATGTAAGTGTGAGAGCTGGTGTAACAGAGAGTACTACATGTACGTAATACAGAGCAAAGGAACAGCTGCTGATACAGGTGCTTGTACTATGGCCGCGTTTTGGTCGAGATTTTTAGTTCCAGAGAGTTTCCAGAGAGTTTTGTAAGAGGATTTGAGAGAAAGGAAGAATCATTGTTGATTTCTTCGAGTTCTTGATTCTAAAAGCTCGTGTTTGTGATTGTGTAGCTCTGGATTGTGTTTTGGATCTGTTCTTCACGAAGGAAGAAGTAGATTTCAGATTTTGGGGATCAGATTTAGAGTGTTCTTCGCGTTCTTCGCTGATTTTTATCCTTTTCTTTCCGAAACCAAGGTGAGTGCGTGACCATGGCTTATCTGGATAAATAAATTGATAGGATGCGA